TTGGAGTCAGAAAGAGCTGGCTTCAAGCTCTACCTCTGAAACATACTACAGTTCCACATCCTGACTTTCCTCATCCTGGCTTCTATATATTGCAGATAGGCATAAGAAATTAAGTGGGAATTTTTTGGGAGTTTTGTGGAAGCTGCAGATGACACACAAAGGCCAGCAGATAACACAGAAAAAAAGTTTAGAAACTCAGAAATGCATAAAACATATGCATAGTATTGTATACTATCAACACATTTTATCTGTTAATGCCATAATAATTCAGACTTCTCCTCTGGCACAAAGGGAGGGTAGGGATGGGGCCACGCTCCTAACCCCCACGGTGAGAAAGGGATAATTGTAGTTGTGTATTCGTGTGACCCAGACAATTCTGTAAGACTTTGTGCTGGTGGTGAGTTGCTCTCCTCCAGCAGCTGTGGGGACTAAGCCAATCATGTTTCTATCACATTACATAAATAAGGATAGGGACTTGAACTGATTTCTCTGGTATATTTATTATATAAATATATTATTAAATTACACTAATGTATTATATTTAGAAGTATGAATGTGTTTGGTTATGGCAACTGAGAATCAAGAAAAGTGAAACAGTGTTATGTAGAACTGAAAACTGGCAGAAGAGAGCTTTGTACAGGAGAATGCTAGTCAGTGACCTTGGTCACTGAATGTACCATTCAGTACTGAGAAGCCAGACCCACACGTCCCTCCCAAGGCTATTCAATGCCATTTATCTTTTTTTTTCTTGATCTCTATATTTTATTCTTATTCCCTTCAATTCCTGAAATTTACTTAGCACTGTAAGCAGTGCCAATTCTTCTTTGATTGCTTTGAGTTTCTGCCTTCTATTTCTATGAGCAGCCTTTTCAGAATGTTAAGACAAGAGTCACGACTTATCCCCCAGTGAGTTTTTTAAAAAATGAAAAACAGAAGATATTGAAAGTCTATTTATGAAAAAGGTCTATTTGTGTCAAAAGGTACCCAATCACATTCCAGCATTTCCTTTTTCCATATCATGTAATTTTCTTTTGTCTTTTAACATAATATTTCTAAGGTTTCATGTATTTCTTTACCTTTTCTTCTCATCATCAAATGAAAATGAGTCCCCTGTAGGGAAATTCGCTGGTTTTGTGGAGGAAAGAAAACAAATTCAAAACAAAGTTTTGAAATGTCCCTTTGGGCAGGATTCATATACTTCACACATCCAACTGTATGATAACCCATCTGAAATGATGTAATGAAAATGAGGAAAGTATTGTGACTTGCTCTACAATATTCTCCTAGTTTTTCTAAATGGCTAGTCCATGTGAAATTGGGATCATTATCGCTAAAAAACAAACAAAACCAAGACATCAAACCGGAGAAGGCAGAATTCATAAAGCTAGAAGAAAAGCCCTTCCAGACTCAGATCCAAATGGATCAATGCTAGTTATTGAACACTGTTTTGTTGTACATTGCCGTAGCCTCTCAACATTTTGTACAACAATTATACAACAAATTTAGAAGCTACAGGACAGGTCTGGTGAAAAAGATCTGGGGTTTAGTAGACTGCACGTTCCAAATTGAGTCAACTGAGTATGAGACAGCATTGAAAAAAAATCCTAATGATCTCCTAGGCTGACCTAGTGTCTGGGAGACAGAAGGTGACAGTTTCGTGAGCAGAGGTTGGGTTGGGTTGGGTTCTGAGAGTCACATCTTCCAAAAGGCACTTGGAGAAACTGAGGAGAGGAGGGACCAAGGTGTTAAACCAGGAGAAGTCTTAGCAGGCACCTAAGGAGCCCTTTTTTTATGGACATTTAAGGAGATCTTTATTTAAGCATCTGAAGGGCTACCACTTGAAAGAGGGATTCGTTTTGTTCTGCTTGGCCCAAGGGAAGTACTAAAAGTAAGGAAGGGAAGTTGTAGAGAGGCAAACTTTGGCAAAATAGAAGGAAATACTTCTCAGCAATTAGAACTGTCCAGAAGTGGAATGGGTTAGCCTGGTGCCACATGCCTGTGGTCTGACTTGGTTGATTCAGGAAGTACCGAGTTTCTTCTCACTGGAGATGTTTAAGAGGAAGCTGGAAAGGTCACTTGTTGGTCATTCCATGGAAGAAATCCTTAGTATGGTAGAGGTTGGATTTGATGTCCTCTCAAGCTCTACCTCCTCCAGGAACATGCATCCAGATTTGTGGCACCACAGTGGGTTTGAAGCCCCTTCAAGTGCAGAAGGAACGGGGGTTACCAGGAAATCAAGCAACCCATATGCCATGTGAACTCTGCCAGGGGATTTTTATGCCAACCTCACTTGTTTAGACTACTTTATTTTTACAAGTCAACAAAATATAACAGGGTAGAGATCTGAGTTGTGATTTCATTGACATAGGGAACTCCCAGATATAGGAGAGGGTGCACCTTTTCTTCTGTTTATGGTCTTGGAGGGTTGCTTAGAACACTAAGAGAAACTGCAACTTGCCCAAAGTTACATGGCCAATGGCAGAAAGGCAATTTGAACCCTGGTCTTCCTCACATCAGGCTGCCTCTCAGTATATAACACTGCCATAAAACAAAGAGAAGACAATTAAAAGACAAAATAAAAGTTATCATTTCCTCTAGAAGGCCATACATGAGGCCTGGGAACTGAAAGGAGGGCCCAAAAGACCTCTTTAGACTTTTTTTCATTAGCACATTAATTTGTTTATCAGATTCACTAATTATCACCTTAGAAAGCAAAGAGGGAGCCTGGCCCTGACCCGATGAGGTATGGGATAGAAAACAGGAGGAAGGAAGGGAGGAAGCAAGGTAAGAGCAACTAAGGCTGCAGGGGAGAAGGAGTCAATTAAATTCCATTCAGGAATCATTTTAAGTTCTTACTATGTCCCAGGGACTGTACCATACACTGGGACTATTGACTAGGGACAATGACTAAGGAGAGAAGGCCAAGTGCAGTATTCCTGTGGGGGCTCTTTGTTTCTGGGCAGGGGAATGGGGGAGTGAGCTCCTGATCTAGCTCCATTGGCCTTCAGAGATCACAGTTCATTGTTACTACTGTAAAAACAGTGACATAGTACATAGAGTGCTGGAGAGAATTCTGGGAATAGATTAGGAATCAAGATAAAGATTAAGTTCACACCCTTCACCATTTTGCCTAGGGTTGGGACAGTTTGGGACAGAATTTAGCATGCAACAGGGGAAAATAATTCAGTTTGTTTCTACAATTCTGTTTAAAGCTACACTGAGAACTTGTTTCACAAGTAGCTTTGATTATAATGAAAGACCCTTGAAGGTTCTATCAACTCAGTTAGTACCAAGTGTTTGAGAAGGCACATTTGGGAAGCAAAGTGGCACTGGACTCAGGAGTGAAAAGTTCCTAAGGAGGAGGTGGAATTAGATGATTTCAAAACTCCTTTCCAGCTCGACCCCTATAGAGCACTACGGAATCAGGTCCTACTTCTGCTACTTAGTAGGCACCTTACCTTTGACCAATTACGTAAGCTTCTTAGACCTCAGCTTCCTCATTTGTAGAATATGGGTCATAATACCTAGACATCAATGTTTATGAACAAGCATTTATTTACTAAGATGTATACACATATATGGGATTAAGTCAAATGCTTAAAAATTGGTGAGGACTCCCAAAAGAGCTTTTGTTTTTATAGGTTATAAATATATATAATTAATTTCTACAGGACTGGAAATTAAAATGTGTTACTATTAGTAATTCTTATTTGTTTTTTAGTCAATTAGGGTTAAGTGACTTGCCCAGGATCGCACAGCTCGTAAGTGTCCAAGGCAAGATCTGAAGTCAGGTCCTCCTAACTCCAGGGCTGGTACTCTATCCACTGAACCATCTAGCTGCCCCTATAAAATGGGTTTCTATTATATGAAACGTTTTGACCTCATGGACCCTGCGAAAGGGATCCTAATTCACACTTTTGACAACTAACTGCTGGTTTACATTATTTAGAGATTTAAGGTTCACTAAGTACTTTCTTCACAACCCAGTGAGATAGGGCAAGTTTGATCATTCCATTTTACAGGGGAGGAAAGGGAGGCTCAAACTGATGAAATGATCAGAGCTATAACTAGGGCAGGGCAACCAGAACTTTGCTTCAGGGCAATGACATTTAGAGGGTTCTGACAACATTGCAGTCTTTCCCCAGCACAGAAAAAACTGAGGTTAACACTTTGTTAGCTAGAATAGTTAGTTAAAATAGGAAGCTATCAGATGGCCTACTTTTTCTTCAGGTGCCACACTACCGAAACTGTGGTACTCTACTCTTCCATTCTTTCTCTAGAAGCAGCCTCAAGGAGTCTTGGAATTTCTTCACTTGTCCTTGCCCCTCCCTTGCAGTTTTTTAATTGACTTGAAGACATCAGCAGGTGTAAAAATTGCTTTAGTGATGGGTTTGAAAGTGACTACTGGTCGGTCACTGTATCAGTTCACAACGTTTGGAATTTATTCATTAAATTCATTATGTGAAAATGCATAATAAAGTAAAAAAGCACAATACAAATATACTATTAGAATAGCAGAGTAGAGGGGTAGATTGTCTTCATTATGTGTAGTACTCAATATCCTATTGGCTTCTAATAAAGTATAATTCTTGATACAGCTAATTTTAACCTTTTAAGAATGCTTTAAAAATAAGCCAGGTTAGGGAGGGTTATACAGGAGTTAATGAAGGAGGATGGTTAAGAATGACAGAAAGCTTCCAAGCTGAAGAACAGAGGGGAAAAAAACCGAAAAGCTGGCGGGGGGGGGGGGGGAACTATCTGCACAGCAGGGGGTTGGGGGACAGCTAATTTTAATGAGAACGGGCAGGGCTGCAGGGTTGCTTGGGAAAAGCATTGCATCAGTGAAAACAGAGTGGAGGTGATTTGCTAAATTGGATGATTAGAGTAAATGACTCCCCTCAGTCTGAATTTAATGACAGCATGAAGTTTCCAGGGGGGGGAAGGGGAAGGAGTGGGGGAGCATTTAGGGAGTTATAAATATGAGTCAGTCCAGCAGCAGCTGAGAAAATAGCCACCAAGTTTGACTGGTCTGAGCGATTTCACGTCAGGCTTCCCCTTAAAGGTGCTTGCTCCGAGACTTCAAGTCAAGTAACAGGCACAAAAAGGTCGCTGTCATTCAGCTGCTGTGTGAGCACCTCAGAAAGGTAACGCACGCGTTACAGGGTCTGTCTTTTATCGTGTGTACATCGCTATTTGCATGTGGTCTCTCTTTTCTGAACTCGAGCTCCGGGGGGCCAGGTAGGGTGCTTCTCCCTCCTCCCACCCTTTTTCTTTTTCTCCTTTGTTTTTCACGGTTTAGAGTGAGCGCTTAATAAACACTAATTGATGGACCTAAAGGCGTGGCTCGCATCCAGGGGAAGTCCAGAAAGAAGGTGTAAACAGCAGCGGGAGAAGGGGAAGCGGCTGCAGCCCCAAGGGAGGGAAGGGAGATGTCACCCCGGGGCAAATGCTCCCAGGGCGAGTGCATGCCCCAGGGACTGAGCCGGGCTGGAAGCCCGCACCCGCGGGCGGGGGGCTGGGACGCCAGGGCGAGGTGGGGGCATGGGGGGTGCTTTGGACCAGACAAAACGGGACGAGAACGAGGCTCGCAGAGAGCCGGGGGAGGGAGAGCCCGAGCCTGGGATTTCTTTCCCGCGTTGTTCCGCGCGCGCACGCGCGCGGAAGAAGCTGGGGGCGTTTGACCCCGGGAGGGAGAGGGGCAGCCGGATGCACGCTCAGAAAGCCAGATCCCCAGATCCCCAGATCCCCGAGAGCAGCGCGGGTATGTGGAAGTCAGAGAGGGGAAGGGGGAGGGAGAGCCCGGATGCGTGCGGGAAGGTGGCCCTGTTGCTAAGGCGCCCAGCTCCGGTCCCGCCCCCCTCCGCGTTACCTGGGTGACCGCCGGGGGGAGGGGGTGGGGGTGACGGGCACTTACGTGCTGACGCTAATTGTATATGAGCGCGAGCGGCGGGATCTTGGGTCTTTTTTAGCGCCATCTGCTCAGGGCGCCGCCTCCTTCTCCTCCTCCTCCGCCTCCTTCGTCTCCTCCCGCCGCCGCCCTGAGTCACAGCCTGCGCAGCTCCGGCCGTTTGGTCCCTACAGCAGCCGCGGGTAACGGAAGCGGGACGGGAGGGGAGGGGGCGCGCGGGGGCTTCCAACGGCCGACCGGGCCGAGGTGGGGGGGCGGGAGGATCCCGCGGGCTCGCCTGCCTTGCCCGGGCCTGGTCCGGGCTGGCCTGGTCGGGGCCGGGGCAGGGTCTGCGCGCGGACATGGGAGTGTCCGGGGCCTGAGTCTCGGTCGAGGCCGACCCCGCACCCCCGTGAGGCCCATGAGCCGCAGCCCCCTGACGAGGAGCCCGGGCTCGGGCTGCTGTGGCCGTGGGAGGGAGGGGAAGGCCGGCGGGGCTGGTAGCCCGTGGCCACGGGAGCACATTCCGCGCGCGCGCGCGTGGCTAAATCTGGGGGTGGGGGCGAAGCCGAACTGTTCTGGCGCGCACGACCCCCCGGGGAGAGCGTAGTGGGGGCCGCTGCACCCTGCCGGGCCCCGCGTCTCCGGGAGGCGGAGGCAAAGTTGGGGTCGAGGAGGAGGCAAAGTTGGGGTCGGGGCTGAGGCGACGTTTGTCCGCTGCCTGCAACACGTGGTAGCGGCTGCATGGCCGCCGACCGCCCGGGCGTGCTGCCCCTCCTCCTCTTCCCCCCAACACCCTCACCCTCCCCAACCTCATCACCTCCCTCCCCCATTTCCCCCTTTTGATCATCCCCTGCCTTTACCTCCTCTGATCACCCCTTCCTTCCCCTCCTCATCACCTCCCCCTTACCCCCGTCTGATCATGCTTTCCCTTTGCCCCTTGCCTTCCCCTCCTGACTCCCCCCACCCCTTCCTTTACTCTCATCAAGAAACCCTGAGGCAGTTGAAATCTTTGCCAAGAAAAAAAATAGTAAACATCCTTTTTGACTCTGAAATATCTCCTCCCCGTGGGCCTTTTGATTAAACGCTGGCAAAAGACCAGCCATGCTGATCCTCAATTTTAAGTCCTAGGGAGGGTCTAAAAACTATTAGCAAAAACTTGTAACAGAAATTTGGGGCGCTGGTCTGTCTCCCTGTCCCAAGTCAGCCAAATTAGAGTGCTTTGAATGTCCGGAGGAAGGAAAGCACAGTGGCTAGTAGATAGAGTGCTGGACTTGGAATCGAGAAGACCTGAGTTCAAATATCATACTTGGCTGTGTGACCCTGGCCTGGTGGTTTAACTGATTAACGTCACCGTGCTCTGGACATCTCCGTGAAGTTTGCAGAGAAGGGGCTACCTTGCATTGGTAAGAGGTAGCAGATTCTTTCTTGGGAGTCTTCTGTAACAGTGGAATTATATAGGTCCTTCGTGTCCTTATCCCCCTTATTAATAAAGTTGTGTGACCCTGGATAAGTCCAGTATCTGCTCTGATTTGCTACATCTGTTAAATGAGTTTTAAATCTGTAATCGTATGAAGGCTCCTGATTTGTTAGAGGGATGGGGTACTAGATCAATGATTTTCATTGATGTAGTGACCTAGGTAAATTTAAGTACCGTTTACCAAGGTCAGCACCTGCTTGGATCCCTAAGAGCACCAACAGGTTTTGTGACTTTTCAGCTTACATAGCTACTATGTCTCAGAGAAAGGACTTGAACCTAGATGTTATAGCTTTCCAGACCACCTGTAGCCACTACCCAAGGCTGCTTCTCATTGATTAAATAGTTTTTTTTGCCTTTCCAGGTTAGGAAGTGACTACTCCAAACTGGTGAAATAAAGTTGAAATCTTTTTCTTTTTCAGCTTGTTGGTACCATTATTGTTACTGATCTCTCAGTACATTTAATTAGAATGACCAGTTCCCTTTGGGGAGGGCAGGGTAAAACTTGACCTGTTAATTTTTTTGGTATAGGAAACTTCCTTCAGGGAACTTCCTCTACCATTGTAGATCTATACCTTCTCAATAACTTAAAAGTCATAGTTGTCTGGGGCACTAATAGGTTAAGTGGTTTATCTTGGCTTGAATTTGAACCTAGGTTTTTCCTGGCTCCTAGGTCAATTCTACTGGGCCACATTCACTTGATATCCCTGAAAAATTTGTTAGGGAATGCCAACACAGACATTTTTTAACCTAGTCTTGGCCGATTAATTAATGTTGCCTCTGGGCTCTTCACTAACGCTATATGTGCTCACTTAACAGAAGCAAATCCTGTGTGGTTGGAGAAGGGATGGTTTCTGAGGAGTTGATTTGATAGATCAAATATTCATACAAAAGAATATGTTGCAGAGTTAGGTTTGGTATAATAAAAATCAAACTGTTTAAATGAACATTTCGTCCATCAGAGAAGATTCTACGTTTTGTATATAAATATGTGTGTGTGTGTACACACACACACACACACACACACACACACACACACACACACGCAACCTAGACTATACTATATATACTATAGTATACTAGAGAAACCTAGTATGACTGGAATCTGAAGGGAAGCTAAATATTACTTGGAAAGGTTTTAGGACATTTTTTGTCATTACAGATGTCTAACTTCACTGCTGGGCCTGCTGATTAAACTCTCCTCAGACCAACAGTTGTTTTTCTTGATTTTTTTTTCCTGGCAGCTAGGTGGTGTGGTGGATAAGAGGCCAACTTTTGCTTGGAGTGAGGAAGATGGTGTTTTTAATCTTTCAGACACATGCTGTGTGACCCTAGTCACAAGTTATCCCATGAGTCTTTCCTCGTGTGTAAAATGAAGGGATTGGTCTTAATAAGTCCACATAAGTCCCTTTCAGTTCTAACTCTATGATTCTGTTTCTCAATTTTCTAACTTGTACTAAAAGTAACTAACAAAATACCAGTTTTATAGTATTTTGTTTAGATGTATATTGTTAAGACAGCTGGAACTAAATGTAGTAAACAAATCATTGTTTTGTGACAAATGAGAACTGGTCATTTTTCAACAAGCATACTAGACCATGAACACCCAAATAATTGTTAAACTTCAGTCAAATTGGAAGCTATATGTAATAGATTTATTGATCAACATATTTGAAACTCCCATTTTGGAATTGCCTTGAGAACCTGTTTTTGAATTCCTCTTGGATCAACAGTAGTATTTTCTTGTGTGACTTAGGGAAGTCACCTAGCCTTTTCCTCAGATTTTTTTTCTGTAAAAGAGAGGGTGGCACTAAATGTCCTCTGGTATTCTTTGTAGAACTAAATCTGTGAACCTTGACAGACTTGTCTTTGGAGGCTTTTGACATTTTTTTTTTAAACAACTTGAACAACAGATTCTGAAGGTATTTCCAAGGAGTTAATAAATATTTAGAGCAGTGAAAATATTGCTGGAATGAGTATATGGCTTCCACAGTAACTACTTAGAAGAGTATGGCAGTCAGGTAGTATATCCGGGTATGCTTTCCTTAAACAAAATATTGTCATACATGTTTAAGTACTTTGATTCATTATATGCCACATTTGGTGGGCTTTGCAATTTATGCATCTTGAGTTTTAATTGATTCAGCTTTTTTACCCTCTGGTGCATTTAGTTATCATTTTATCCAGCTCAGCCATTTTTCAATTTATTGTTGAATTGTGACTTGGAGCATCATTGTAAGAAACTTTACAGCTGAAGGAATAGATGAAGTTTGATCAAAATTGGACTGTAACAGTTTGTAAAAGGAATTTTTATAGTGGAAGGAATCAGTTAAAGACTTAAAGGGGTATTAGTCTTACGTCATTGAGATACTTTTTAGAAAAATTTAAAATTCATGTTGAAAGTAGGTTATTAGCTAATTTTAAACTGAATAACATAATTTCAATCAGAGTTCATTATTTCATCTTTTGTTAGGTGTATATATATATATATATATATATATATATATATATATATATATGCCAACCAATCAATCAGTATTTATTAAATTATATGGTATGTGCCAGACATTATGCTACATACTAGACATAGATATGAAAATGAAAAGTTCTCTGCCCTGTTCGTCATTAATTTAGCAAAGTGATTTAAAATCAAAAGTGTGATAGTCAATAATGCTGAATTGGATCCCATCCCGTCTGTCCTAGTTCTCACCATTTGACTGTAGGTAGAGTGCTGGGCCTGAAGGCAAGAGGACCTGAGTTCATATCCTCCTGCCTCAGACATGGACTGTGTAACCTTATGTATATCACCTAACCTGGGAATAATAGCACCTTCCTTATCAGGTTGTTGTGAGGTTCAAATGAGATAATATTTGTAAAGTGCTTAACACAGTGCCTGACATAATAGGTGCTGCACAAATATTAGCCATTAGATGCTTAATAAATGTTTATTATTAGTATTATTATCATCTAGCCTACCTTTTTAGATTTATTTCACATTTCTCCCCTTATATTAGCAAAAGTGACTCTAATTTCCTGATTCTCTGTCTCCTGCTTCTCTCTTTGCATGGGCTGTTCCTCAAGTAAGAATGGTAAATACTAAGTACTAGATGATTTTGAGGAGGGAGGGATCCTTTGGGGATTCTTTCCTTTAATAAGGAATTTTTTTTAAAGATGTCATTTAATCTGGGTCTTGGAAGGTTAGCTGAAGTTTTGATAAGAGGGGATGTAAGCCTTTAAATAAATGTCTAAAGACATTTGGGAGTACCAAATGTTTTAAAGATATTCTTGAAGATACTTTAGAACAAGAGTTCATTACCTGGAGTACATTTCAAGGGAAGGAAGAATCTGAACTAGGATTGAGGGGAAAATTACATCCTTATTTTCATTAACCTCTAATTGGAATGTAGCATTTCCTTCAGATTTGCATGTAGGCAACAGGCATGAAGCAATACATACTAGCACTTGCTAGTAGATTGTTTTGAAGAGTTGGTAAGGCTCTCTGTAGTCATTCTCACCAAGGAAGAAACTTCTATTGGGAAGCATGAAGAATACAACTTGAACACAAAGTACAAGACTGTAGCATGGGTAAAGATGAGGTTCAGACATCAGAGGGGAAAAGGCCTTTGAGATGGGGGTT